CGTACTCGCCCGTGGACCTCGTACTCGCCCGTGGCCACGTCGAGCTCCGCGACGCTGTACATGTCGCTCTCGTCGTCGACCTGGAGCACCTGGACCGGGTTGCTGTGCGCGGCGCGGTCGAAGGGCTCGATGGGCGAGAACGACGGGCCGCGCGTCGGCGCGGCCGACGGGACGAACATCTCGAGGTCGTAGGGGCAGTCCATGCCGTCGTTGCTGTCCGTCTCGTCCGACGGGTCGATGTAGTTGATGGGCTGCGCGCCCGCGGCCGAGCAGCCGGCGCGCGACGACGTGTCGACGCCCGTGTTCCAGCAGCCGTCGGGGATCGCGATCGGCAGCGCGAGCTCGTACACGCCCGACCCCTGGTTCGACGAGAAGAGGACGTGGACGTCGCCCTGGGGGTCGTAGAACGTGAAGGCCGCGCCGAACTCCTGGTCGCCGTCCTGCCACGCGACGTCGCGAGGACCGCGTAGGTCTCCGGGTAGCCCGAGCCCGTGATGATCTTGCCCACGAAGATCTCGAAGGCCCCGCCGAGGCGGAAGAGGTAGGAGCCGTCGACGAGGTCGTCGTCGATCCAGACTTGGCCGTCGGCGAGGTCGTCGTCGATCCAGACCTGGCCGCCGGTCTCGCTGACCGTCGCGACGTCGAGCACGGCCTCCTCGTACAGGTCCTCGGAGACGAGGAACTCGACGCCCGAGTGGAAGACGGGCTCGTCGTCCCGGATGTTCTCGACCCAGTAGAAGCCCCGCTCGTCGAGGCCGACGTCCTTGGAGTAGTCGTCGTCGCCGCCCAGGACCGCGTCGACGTTCGGCTTCTCCTCCTCCAGGGGCGCGTCGAGGCGCTGCGTGCGGACGCGGTAGAACTTGCAGAGGCAGCCGCCGAAGGTGCCCCAGGCGTAGGTGCCCTCGCCCTCGGGCGCGTAGAGGCCCACGGCGTTGACGTGGCCGTCGAACCAGTCGACGTCCCAGAGGATGTCGTACTCGCCCGTGGTCACCTCGAGGCTGGCGACGCCGTACATGTCGCTGTCGTCGTCGACCTGGAGCACCTGGACGCGCGTGTCGTAGGTCGTGCAGTTGAAGGACAGGACGGGGCTGAGCGTCGGCAGCCCATGCCAGCATGTGCTGCGTGCACGAGCTGAGCTGCAAGGAAATGATACATTGAATGCCCCGACTGAAAACATGATGGACCAACTCTGGGATAACATGAGAAACTTGTTGTCTCCTGAGCCGAAGACTTCCTTGGCATGGAAGCGTTTGCAGGCTTCCATGCGCGACG